GCCATCAGTCGAAAGTGACGAGTTGACCTTACAGATATGGAGAGCTTTATTTGACCAAGAAGGTAGCTTGAATTTACAAGTTCAGTGATTAATTTGTGAAGAAACATAACACCCTGGCAGGTCCGACGATCCTTGAGGGAGGGCAGGTTCAGTAGACGCAGTCTATCCACTTAAGATTGTAGGGAACGATGTGTTTTCCAGTTTCATTTCTGTACCGGCTCGATAAGCTTCTGACACTTAGCATTTTGAGGTGACCAAACTCACGAACAGTATTCAAGATTGGACGAACCAAGGAAATGTGTTTCGTGGTTTCCTCAAATTCCTTTGACCAACGTTTGACAAAGGCGAAACACCCTTTTGCTTTACTAACTATAATGCCAATGTGATCATTGAAGTTTAAGTTGTGGTTGAATAAGACTCCAAGGTCTGTAACGGAATTTATGCATTCGAGATCACTTGACCCAATAAAATATCTTGTGAGGAAAAGATTCTTTTGATAAAAGGACAAAGTTACATTTAGATTGGCTTAAAAACAGCAAATTCTGAATGCAATAAAAATGAAAATTGTTCAAATCGGCTTGGAAAAGTGCAAGGGAATTGGGATTTAAAGGCAAACAAAGTTGTACGCCGCCAGCATACATCAGTTTAGATAACGGTTTTCAGAAAGCATCGGCACATTTTTTTATAACACAGCTCGGTGCAAGATCAGGGCCCGAAGAGAAAGATAACATGGTTGTTTAAAGATTTTGAAAAACGTCGTCCTCACTTATAAGGGGGATGAAAATAAAGTTGGAGTGAGGGAGAGGGTGTGGTTAGGATGAGGTGTTATCATAGCTAAAAGATTACCACCCTCAAGACCTACCGGACCGGATTTTGACCTAGCAACATCACCACCCTCAATATTAATATCTAAAAGATGAGTACATGGACTGAAAAAAATTTGGCAGATAAGGCGGATGTAGAATTAAGGTGAAAACAAGATGGGAATTGTTGTGATTTCCGTTTCGAATTAACAAATGCAAAGAACTATTTGGGGTTATCTTGGAATTCGGTATTGAATTATTCGGAGTTATTAAAACCAGCAAATAGATACCACGAGTGGTCAGATTGCAGCCCGGTTCTCTTAAATTTCTAAAGCAGTCTGGACATGGAGTTTTTCAGGAAAGAGAGGGTACGTCAGAACCAAGGGGGCTTTCGAGACGCGTTTGTAGAGGGATATGAGGGATTAAACATATCGAAAGCTGAATAGAGTGTTCCACAAAAATTATCCTACAATATATAAGGGATCATCGTTTGAATTCATTAAAGACCAATCGAGTTCTACGAAAATAACGAAAGGATGCAGGTTCGATTTAAAAACATGGCAATAATGGAACTGATGCTTCTAAAGTAACCTCAACTGTAGGATGGTACGCGTCTTCAGGATTTGAGAGAGAACTAGTTCGAGTTACGTATGCATTTGCGAACTCTGAGACTAAAATAAGGTCTAAAATTTACCAGAGTAGTGACGAAGCGCACCAGGAAAATTATGAAAATGAAACTTTTTCGTTCGATGGTTACGAGTGATACATCAATCGAAATATATTTTAAAACTAAAAGGATTGCATTACAAGGCTATAAGAAAATCAATTAGTTTGGGAAAAAGTGCGGTAAAAGTGAAAAAATAAAATATTGAAAATTTTATCTGTTGGGGCCGGTGGGGATCAACACCCCCCGCTATTAACCTAGTTGTATTTTCACTTAAAATACGCTTCGAATGACACCTTAACTTTCAAATTCGGCTGCTCCGTTCAAAAGTAATACGCAATACAAGATTTTGGGGCACTTCTCAAAATGAAACAAGGAAGAACGCTATAGTCGAGTACCTCGACTGTCAGATACCCGTTACTCCGCTACATGGACCAAAGGGAAATAGAGATATGCCAGCAGCAAAGCGAGATTGAAATGCGACACCTACTCCTGATCTCAATATATGGTTATGTGAGCGGTAGACAGATTTAGGCGTTATGGGCGTTAGAGTGGGCGTAGCAATCTTTTTTTCAGATCAATCGATAGTGTAGTATGCATGTATCATTGTAGCGAGTACTCACTGTACCGAAACCAATACTGTGTTACCGTGTACTTAAACAAACACAAAAGTCCCGGCCAAAATTTAAAAAAAAAAACAAGACAAAACTAGTTATACCCGTTACTCGTAGAGTAAAAGGGTATACTAGATTCGTCGGAAAGTATGTAACAGGCAGAAGGAAGCGTTTCCGACCCCATAAAGTATATATATTCTTGATCAGGATCACTAGCCGAGTCGATCTAGCCATGTCCGTCTGTCCGTCTGTCCGTCTGTCCGTCTGTCCGTCTGTCCGTATGAACGCTGAGATCTCGGAAACTATGAGAGTTACAATACTGGGATTAGGCACGCAGATTCCTGAGATACCTGCGCAGCGCAAGTTTGTTTCAGTAGACTGCCACGCCCACTCTAACGCCCACAAACCGCCCAAAACTGTGGCTCATACAGTTTTGATGCTAGATAGAAAATTTTAACTGAAATGTATTGTTCTCATCAATACCTATCGATTGACCCAAAAAAAAGTTTGCCACGCCCACTTTAACGCCCACAAACCGCGAAAACCTGTGTCGCCCACAATTTTCATGCTAGATAAAAAATTTTAACTGAAATGTATTGTTCTCATCAATACCTATCGATTGGTCCAAAACAAAGTTTTCCAGGCCCACTTTACCGCCCACAAACCGCGAAAACCTGTGACGCCCACAATTTTCATGCTAGATAAACAAATTTAACTGAAATGTATTGGTCTTGTCAATACCTATCGATTGGTCCAAAAAAAAATTTGCCACGCCCACTCTAACGCCCATAACGCTTAAATCTGTATACCGCCGGTAGGTGGCGCATTTTAATCTCGCTTTGCTACTTGCATATCCCTATTTAGCTGAGTAACGGGTATCTGATAGTCGAGGTACTCGACTATAGCGTTCTTCCTTGTTTTTTATAATTTCAAGCATTATTAAAAGTTAAAAAAAAAATGATTATTTTTTTAATATAATAACCAAAAAAAAATAATAATATATCTTCTTTTATGACCACAAGTATTGGTAGATTCGAATTAGCGTCGCTTGTGACCGGTTGTGTTTATCTTGTGCTCTGTGCTTTTTGTCAATTTGTCATTAATATCTGTGATACTGGTGCCTTGCTTTGTGACTTAGTCCAACATAACTAAATCTATTGTCTAATTGTATATTTTATTGTAGAAATGTTAACAAAACCAAACTCTGTTTTTAGCCTGTTCATTTGTTTATTGTATCTTCTGTAGCTTTTGTTGTTGTTTCCCATAACTTTCTTGTAATCTCTCTCCCGTTTCTTGTCGTTTAAGCTGTTGTCGTGTATATTTTGCTTGTGTTTCGCAAGCCACGCTCGGTCGACTGCCACTCTGTCGCGCTCTCTCGCCCTCGCATTCTCTATGCGCTCTTATACTTTTGCGTTCTTGCGTGTCTACATTTTTATTGTTTGATCCCAGTGTCAAATTAAGTGAGGTATTTATAATTCTTTTGATTCTTTGGTTTTGTTAATAACTTTTTTTCTTAAATTTAAATACTTAAAAATGGCTCTTTTTTGTTCCAAAAAAGATTGTCAGTTCGGATCGTCACCTAATGACGTTTTTATTTACTGTCCCTGGTCTCGATAATCAGACGAACGATGTTCAGATTGTTGGTGCCGGAAGAAAGAGACCCTGGTTGTTCCATATAGGAAGCAATTATTTGAGTCTCGTTTAACACCTAAAACCACATCTGCAGATGTTTTGGAATTTATACACCAGGAATTCCCATCTCAAAACATTACGGTGAAGGAGTATAAATTTCCATATGTTCGTCGGATATCTTCATTTAAAATATCTGCTCCTCCTGAAGTATTTAATGTACTAAACTCAAAAAGTTGTTGGCTTAATGATGAATTGGTCATTAAAGAATTTGTTCCAAACAGACGGAGAACTAATGATAGGCCTTCCACGGTAGTACCTGCGCCAAAAAACTGAGCAGTTTATTTTTGGCCTATCAAAATGTTAGGGGACTTAATATGAAGCTACCTTATGCTGACTCCTCTGCCTTTTCTGAAGACATTGACATTGAAATCGTTGGTGTTAAAGTTTCTTTGAAATCTTTTTCTATTTATGTAACTTTTTCTTATATTCCACCTTGATCCGACTTTGTCTGCAATAAAAACTGTTCTATCTCATCTTTCCGAAAGGGATTTTTTTATTGTTTTGGGTGATTTTAATCTCCCTGGCATTTCTTGGCCCTCTCCACTCTCTCACTTGTCTTTAACAGCTATAAATTACACCCGTAACTTGTGAACTTAATACATTTTCGTCACAAAAATTGATTTCAGAACTTTTGTTTGTTGAAGGTGCGATCGTCACTAGATAATTACCTCGTTAAGAGGTGTTTTTTTAATATTTAATACTCCCGAAATATAAAATATTTTTCTACTTCATTCCCCAGCTCTGTATGCTTAAATACACTTGCTTTGGTTATTCTTAAGATGTTGTCTCTAAAATAAGCTTTTTTAGGTAACTCCATTTCGTTTTTAAAAATATGGGAAAACCATTAAAAAGTTGACGTTCCCAACATTTTGGCCACGTTTTCTTTATTTTACGCCTTAGATAAATTAACTTCTAGGACATTAAAAACCCATATTTAAGTCTCACGTTGTATTTTATTTGATGTTCAAATCGGAACTGATATTGCATTACTTAAGAATTCCCTGATCTAAGTGGCGGTGGCAGAATTCTAGTTGAGCGGCAGAAACGGCAAGATCGGAAGAATTGGCATTTATGGATTTGATTTGTGGCAACTGACCGGATTCTCGTGTTTATGTTATTGAACTGTAAGATCTGACTCCCAACGAAATTGTCACAATATTGAAATGTTGTTGCCTAACAATGTTGCAATATATCATGGAAAATTTAATAAGATATTGCTGTGCTTACCTCTCTCTCTTTAAAATCCTACTTGTCCTGAAAAGGAATTAGAAATAAGGAATTTTATTAAATTTTGATTGTATCTTGAACTTGTAGAATTACTTTCTCTTTTCGATAAAAAAAGTTTTAAGTACAATCAGAGTAAAGACAATAGCGCCGCAAAAGTCAGATTACGTCAATTTTGGCCCATTGAATTGGCAAATTTTACATTTCCTTTTTCTTCTTTTATGACTCTAACCTGATTTTGTAAGCTTAAAGCAATATCGTTACTGAAATGATTCTCTTTTTGAATTGTGTTTTCTAGCATATTCGATATTGTTGTTAAATTATTAATTTTGTCCTGAAGATGATTGTTAATGATTATCTGGTCATTGCTGGTCATTCGTAACTAGGTTTTTTAAATGTTTCCCTGTCATAACTAGACCATCGGGCTGCCTGCGATATATTTCCATGCTAAGCCAATCATGTAATGTAAGTGTAGTTAGATCAGACAGTGATTGTGTTATTTCATGCGTTAGAGTATGGTAGTGGTTACTATATCTTAATTATACCCGTTACTCGTAGAGTAAAAGGGTATACTAGATTCGTCGGAAAGTATATAACAGGCAGAAGGAAGCGTTTCCGACCCCATAAAGTATATATATTCTTGATCAGGATCACTAGCCGAGTCGATCTAGCCATGTCCGTCTGTCCGTCTGTCCGTCTGTCCGGATGAACGCTGAGATCTCGGAAACTATGAGAGCTAGGCTATTGAGATTTGGCGTGCAGATTCCTGAGCTTCTTACGCAGCGCAAGTTTGTTTCAGTAGACTGCCACGCCCACTCTAACGCCCACAAACCGCACAAAACTGTGGCTCCTACAGTTTTGATGCTAGAATAAAAATTTTAACTGAAATGTAATGTTCTCATCAATATCAATCAAAAAAAAGTTTGCCACGCCCACTTTAACGCCCACAAACCGCAAAAACCTGTGACGCCCACAATTTTCATGCTAGATAAAAAATTTTAACTGAAATGTATTGGTCTCGTCGATACCTATCGATTGATCCAAAAAAAAATTTGCCACGACCACTCTAACGCCCATAACGCTTAAATCTGTATACCGCCGGTATGCATATGCTTGCATATCTCCATTTAGCTGAGTAACGGGTATCTGATAGTCGAGGTACTCGACTATAGCGTTCTTCCTTGTTTTGTTTAAGTGCGTTCCCTTATTTTCAGTAGTTCAATTTCTATATGGACAAAAGTTTCCCTAAGAATTATCGGACTTAAGCACTTTGAATGTTACTTTTGTGAACTACCCTTCCAGCTTCTGTAATAATAGTTATATTTTTGTTTTCTTTAACAATTTACGCAATACAAGATTTTGGGGCACTTCTCAAAATGAAACAAGGAAGAACGCTATAGTCGAGTACCTCGACTGTCAGATACCCGTTACTCCGCTACATGGACCAAAGGGAAATAGAGATATGCCAGCAGCAAAGCGAGATTGAAATGCGACACCTACTCCTGATCTCAATATATGGTTATGTGGGCGGTAGACAGATTTAGGCGTTATGGGCGTTAGAGTGGGCGTAGCAATCTTTTTTTCAGATCAATCGATAGTGTAGTATGCATGTATCATTGTAGCGAGTACTCACTGTACCGAAACCAATACTGTGCTACCGTGTACTTAAACAAACACAAAAGTCCCGGCCAAAATTTAAAAAAAAAAAACAAGACAAAACTAGTTTTTTATAATTTCAAGCATTATTAAAAGTTAAAAGAAAAATGTTTATTTTTTTAATATAATAACCAAAAAAAAATAATAATATATCTTCTTTTATGACCACAAGTATTGGTAGATTCGAATTAGCGTCGCTTGTGACCGGTTGTGTTTATCTTGTGCTCTGTGCTTTTTGTCAATTTGTCATTAATATCTGTGATACTGGTGCCTTGCTTTGTGACTTAGTCCAACATAACTAAATCTATTGTCTAATTGTATATTTTATTGTAGAAATGTTAACAAAACCAAACTCTGTTTTTAGCCTGTTCATTTGTTTATTGTATCTTCTGTAGCTTTTGTTGTTGTTTCCCATAACTTTCTTGTAATCTCTCTCCCGTTTCTTGTCGTTTAAGCTGTTGTCGTGTATATTTTGCTTGTGTTTCGCAAGCCACGCTCGGTCGACTGCCACTCTGTCGCGCTCTCTCGCCCTCGCATTCTCTATGCGCTCTTATACTTTTGCGTTCTTGCGTGTCTACATTTTTATTGTTTGATCCCAGTGTCAAATTAAGTGAGGTATTTATAATTCTTTTGATTCTTTGGTTTTGTTAATAACTTTTTTTCTTAAATTTAAATACTTAAAAATGGCTCTTTTTTGTTCCAAAAAAGATTGTCAGTTCGGATCGTCACCTAATGACGTTTTTATTTACTGTCCCTGGTCTCGATAATCAGACGAACGATGTTCAGATTGTTGGTGCCGGAAGAAAGAGACCCTGGTTGTTCCATATAGGAAGCAATTATTTGAGTCTCGTTTAACACCTAAAACCACATCTGCAGATGTTTTGGAATTTATACACCAGGAATTCCCATCTCAAAACATTACGGTGAAGGAGTATAAATTTCCATATGTTCGTCGGATATCTTCATTTAAAATATCTGCTCCTCTGAAGTATTTAATGTACTAAACTCAAAAAGTTGTTGGCTTAATGATGAATTGGTCATTAAAGAATTTGTTCCAAACAGACGGAGAACTAATGATAGGCCTTCCACGGTAGTACCTGCGCCAAAAAACTGAGCAGTTTATTTTTGGCCTATCAAAATGTTAGGGGACTTAATATGAAGCTACCTTATGCTGACTCCTCTGCCTTTTCTGAAGACATTGACATTGAAATCGTTGGTGTTAAAGTTTCTTTGAAATCTTTTTCTATTTATGTAACTTTTTCTTATATTCCACCTTGATCCGACTTTGTCTGCAATAAAAACTGTTCTATCTCATCTTTCCGAAAGGGATTTTTTTATTGTTTTGGGTGATTTTAATCTCCCTGGCATTTCTTGGCCCCCTCCACTCTCTCACTTGTCTTTAACAGCTATAAATTACACCCGTAACTTGTGAACTTAATACATTTTCGTCACAAAAATTGATTTCAGAACTTTTGTTTGTTGAAGGTGCGATCGTCACTAGATAATTACCTCGTTAAGAGGTGTTTTTTTAATATTTAATACTCCCGAAATATAAAATATTTTTCTACTTCATTCCCCAGCTCTGTATGCTTAAATACACTTGCTTTGGTTATTCTTAAGATGTTGTCTCTAAAATAAGCTTTTTTAGGTAACTCCATTTCGTTTTTAAAAATATGGGAAAACCATTAAAAAGTTGACGTTCCCAACATTTTGGCCACGTTTTCTTTATTTTACGCCTTAGATAAATTAACTTCTAGGACATTAAAAACCCATATTTAAGTCTCACGTTGTATTTTATTTGATGTTCAAATCGGAACTGATATTGCATTACTTAAGAATTCCCTGATCTAAGTGGCGGTGGCAGAATTCTAGTTGAGCGGCAGAAACGGCAAGATCGGAAGAATTGGCATTTATGGATTTGATTTGTGGCAACTGACCGGATTCTCGTGTTTATGTTATTGAACTGTAAGATCTGACTCCCAACGAAATTGTCACAATATTGAAATGTTGTTGCCTAACAATGTTGCAATATATCATGGAAAATTTAATAAGATATTGCTGTGCTTACCTCTCTCTCTTTAAAATCCTACTTGTCCTGAAAAGGAATTAGAAATAAGGAATTTTATTAAATTTTTATTGTATCTTGAACTTGTAGAATTACTTTCTCTTTTCGATAAAAAAAGTTTTAAGTACAATCAGAGTAAAGACAATAGCGCCGCAAAAGTCAGATTACGTCAATTTTGGCCCATTGAATTGGCAAATTTTACATTTCCTTTTTCTTCTTTTATGACTCTAACCTGATTTTGTAAGCTTAAAGCAATATCGTTACTGAAATGATTCTCTTTTTGAATTGTGTTTTCTAGCATATTCGATATTGTTGTTAAATTATTAATTTTGTCCTGAAGATGATTGTTAATGATTATCTGGTCATTGCTGGTCATTCGTAACTAGGTTTTTTAAATGTTTCCCTGTCATAACTAGACCATCGGGCTGCCTGCGATATATTTCCATGCTAAGCCAATCATGTAATGTAAGTGTAGTTAGATCAGACAGTGATTGTGTTATTTCATGCGTTAGAGTATGGTAGTGGTTACTATATCTTAATTATACCCGTTACTCGTAGAGTAAAAGGGTATACTAGATTCGTCGGAAAGTATGTAACAGGCAGAAGGAAGCGTTTCCGACCCCATAAAGTATATATATTCTTGATCAGGATCACTAGCCGAGTCGATCTAGCCATGTCCGTCTGTCCGTCTGTCCGGATGAACGCTGAGATCTCGGAAACTATGAGAGCTAGGCTATTGAGATTTGGCGTGCAGATTCCTGAGCTTCTTACGCAGCGCAAGTTTGTTTCAGTAGACTGCCACGCCCACTCTAACGCCCACAAACCGCCCAAAACTGTGGCTCCTACAGTTTTGATGCTAGAATAAAAATTTTAACTGAAATGTAATGTTCTCACAAATACCTATCGATTGACCTAAAAAAAAGTTTGCCACGCCCACTTTAACGCCCACAAACCGCAAAAACCTGTGACGCCCACAATTTTCATGCTAGATAAAAAATTTTAACTGAAATGTATTGGTCTCGTCGATACCTATCGATTGATCCAAAAAAAAATTTGCCACGACCACTCTAACGCCCATAACGCTTAAATCTGTATACCGCCGGTAGGTGGCGCATTTTAATCTCGCTTTGCTGCTTGCATATCTCCATTTAGCTGAGTAACGGGTATCTGATAGTCGAGGTACTCGACTATAGCGTTCTTCCTTGTTTTGTTTAAGTGCGTTCCCTTATTTTCAGTAGTTCAATTTCTATATGGACAAAAGTTTCCCTAAGAATTATCGGACTTAAGCACTTTGAATGTTACTTTTGTGAACTACCCTTCCAGCTTCTGTAATAATAGTTATATTTTTGTTTTCTTTAACAATTTACGCAATACAAGATTTTGGGGCACTTCTCAAAATGAAACAAGGAAGAACGCTATAGTCGAGTACCTCGACTATCAGATACCCGTTACTCCGCTACATGGACCAAAGGGAAATAGAGATATGCCAGCAGCAAAGCGAGATTGAAATGCGACACCTACTCCTGATCTCAATATATGGTTATGTGGGCGGTAGACAGATTTAGGCGTTATGGGCGTTAGAGTGGGCGTAGCAATCTTTTTTTCAGATCAATCGATAGTGTAGTATGCATGTATCATTGTAGCGAGTACTCACTGTACCGAAACCAATACTGTGCTACCGTGTACTTAAACAAACACAAAAGTCCCGGCCAAAATTTAAAAAAAAAAAACAAGACAAAACTAGTTTTTTATAATTTCAAGCATTATTAAAAGTTAAAAGAAAAATGTTTATTTTTTTAATATAATAACCAAAAAAAAATAATAATATATCTTCTTTTATGACCACAAGTATTGGTAGATTCGAATTAGCGTCGCTTGTGACCGGTTGTGTTTATCTTGTGCTCTGTGCTTTTTGTCAATTTGTCATTAATATCTGTGATACTGGTGCCTTGCTTTGTGACTTAGTCCAACATAACTAAATCTATTGTCTAATTGTATATTTTATTGTAGAAATGTTAACAAAACCAAACTCTGTTTTTAGCCTGTTCATTTGTTTATTGTATCTTCTGTAGCTTTTGTTGTTGTTTCCCATAACTTTCTTGTAATCTCTCTCCCGTTTCTTGTCGTTTAAGCTGTTGTCGTGTATATTTTGCTTGTGTTTCGCAAGCAACGCTCGGTCGACTGCCACTCTGTCGCGCTCTCTCGCTCTCGCAGTCTCTATGCGCTCTTATACTTTTGCGTTCTTGCGTGTCTACATTTTTATTGTTTGATCCCAGTGTCAAATTAAGTGAGGTATATATAATTTTTTTGATTCCTTGGTTTTGTTAATAACTTTTTTTCTTAAATTTAAATACTTAAAAATGGCTCTTTTTTGTTCCAAAAATGCGACACCTACTCCTGATCTCAATATATGGTTATGTGGGCGGTGGACAGATTTAGGCGTTATGGGCGTTAGAGTGGGCGTAGCAATCTTTTTTTCAGATCAATCGATAGTGTAGTATGCATGTATCATTGTAGCGAGTACTCACTGTACCGAAACCAATACTGTGTTACCGTGTACTTAAACAAACACAAAAGTCCCGGCCAAAATTTAAAAAAAAAAACAAGACAAAACTAGTTTTTTATAATTTCAAGCATTATTAAAAGTTAAAAAAAAAATGTTTATTTTTTTAATATAATAACCAAAAAAAAATAATAATATATCTTCTTTTATGACCACAAGTATTGGTAGATTCGAATTAGCGTCGCTTGTGACCGGTTGTGTTTATCTTGTGCTCTGTGCTTTTTGTCAATTTGTCATTAATATCTGTGATACTGGTGCCTTGCTTTGTAACTTAGTCCAACATAACTAAATCTATTGTCTAATTGTCTATTTTATTGTAGAAATGTTAACAAAACCAAACTCTGTTTTTAGCCTGTTCATTTGTTTATTGTATCTTCTGTAGCTTTTGTTGTTGTTTCCCATAACTTTCTTGTAATCTCTCTCCCGTTTCTTGTCGTTTAAGCTGTTGTCGTGTATATTTTGCTTGTGTTTCGCAAGCCACGCTCGGTCGACTGCCACTCTGTCGCGCTCTCTCGCCCTCGCATTCTCTATGCGCTCTTATACTTTTGCGTTCTTGCGTGTCTACATTTTTATTGTTTGATCCCAGTGTCAAATTAAGTGAGGTATTTATAATTCTTTTGATTCTTTGGTTTTGTTAATAACTTTTTTTCTTAAATTTAAATACTTAAAAATGGCTCTTTTTTGTTCCAAAAAAGATTGTCAGTTCGGATCGTCACCTAATGACGTTTTTATTTACTGTCCCTGGTCTCGATAATCAGACGAACGATGTTCAGATTGTTGGTGCCGGAAGAAAGAGACCCTGGTTGTTCCATATAGGAAGCAATTATTTGAGTCTCGTTTAACACCTAAAACCACATCTGCAGATGTTTTGGAATTTATACACCAGGAATTCCCATCTCAAAACATTACGGTGAAGGAGTATAAATTTCCATATGTTCGTCGGATATCTTCATTTAAAATATCTGCTCCTCCTGAAGTATTTAATGTACTAAACTCAAAAAGCTGTTGGCTTAATGATGAATTGGTCATTAAAGAATTTGTTCCAAACAGACGGAGAACTAATGATAGGCCTTCCACGGTAGTACCTGCGCCAAAAAACTGAGCAGTTTATTTTTGGCCTATCAAAATGTTAGGGGACTTAATATGAAGCTACCTTATGCTGACTCCTCTGCCTTTTCTGAAGACATTGACATTGAAATCGTTGGTGTTAAAGTTTCTTTGAAATCTTTTTCTATTTATGTAACTTTTTCTTATATTCCACCTTGATCCGACTTTGTCTGCAATAAAAACTGTTCTATCTCATCTTTCCGAAAGGGATTTTTTTATTGTTTTGGGTGATTTTAATCTCCCTGGCATTTCTTGGCCCCCTCCACTCTCTCACTTGTCTTTAACAGCTATAAATTACACCCGTAACTTGTGAACTTAATACATTTTCGTCACAAAAATTGATTTCAGAGCTTTTGTTTGTTGAAGGTGCGATCGTCACTAGATAATTACCTCGTTAAGAGGTGTTTTTTTAATATTTAATACTCCCGAAATATAAAATATTTTTCTACTTCATTCCCCAGCTCTGTATGCTTAAATACACTTGCTTTCGTTATTCTTAAGATGTTGTCTCTAAAATAAGCTTTTTTAGGTAACTCCATTTCGTTTTTAAAAATATGGGAAAACCATTAAAAAGTTGACGTTCCCAACATTTTGGCCACGTTTTCTTTATTTTACGCCTTAGATAAATTAACTTCTAGGACATTAAAAACCCATATTTAAGTCTCACGTTGTATTTTATTTGATGTTCAAATCGGAACTGATATTGCATTACTTAAGAATTCCCTGATCTAAGTGGCGGTGGCAGAATTCTAGTTGAGCGGCAGAAACGGCAAGATCGGAAGAATTGGCATTTATGGATTTGATTTGTGGCAACTGACCGGATTCTCGTGTTTATGTTATTGAACTGTAAGATCTGACTCCCAACGAAATTGTCACAATATTGAAATGTTGTTGCCTAACAATGTTGCAATATATCATGGAAAATTTAATAAGATATTGCTGTGCTTACCTCTCTCTCTTTAAAATCCTACTTGTCCTGAAAAGGAATTAGAAATAAGGAATTTTATTAAATTTTGATTGTATCTTGAACTTGTAGAATTACTTTCTCTTTTCGATAAAAAAAGTTTTAAGTACAATCAGAGTAAAGACAATAGCGCCGCAAAAGTCAGATTACGTCAATTTTGGCCCATTGAATTGGCAAATTTTACATTTCCTTTTTCTTCTTTTATGACTCTAACCTGATTTTGTAAGCTTAAAGCAATATCGTTACTGAAATGATTCTCTTTTTGAATTGTGTTTTCTAGCATATTCGATATTGTTGTTAAATTATTAATTTTGTCCTGAAGATGATTGTTAATGATTATCTGGTCATTGCTGGTCATTCGTAACTAGGTTTTTTAAATGTTTCCCTGTCA